ACGATCCCTTAAAAGCGACGGAGCGTGCCCCCCCTCGAGTCTCAGACTTGTTCGGGAGAGCTCTACTATACTCGAGGGGGGGGACCCGTAGCGCCCATACGGGTGGGCACGATCCCTTAAAGGCGACGGATCGTGCCCCCCCTCGAGTCTCAGACTTGTTCGCCTGAGCCCTCGGAGAGATCCCATCCCTGGCACAATATGTGTTTGCTGATGAGCCTGTTTTCCACCACCACCACCAGAAGTTGGAGGGGGGAAGGAGGAGCAGGGCAAGGAGGAGGAGGAGGAGGAGGAGGAGGAGGAGGAGGACCCCCCCCCTCCAACGTATGGTGGTGGTGGTGGAAACCACACCCATCATTTGCTTGCTTTGTTATGCCAGGCGATGAGTATACGCCGCCTCGGTATACCCGATGGCGATCGTGGGCATATCTGCGATGCACGGCCGATCTATCTATTCGAGGTGCTGCAGTTGCCAATGCTCATGTATGCACGCTCTCGATGCGCGGTCACCCTGTCTGCGCACCCCTCTCAACGACGATGGCGGCGAACTCAGAAACGGTTTGAGGTGGCAACGCTCTGGGCTCAGGTGACGACGACCGACGACGACGACGACGGCGATGGCGACGACCGCGGCGACGAAGAGGTGCTCGCGGTGAGGCACGTGGGCGCTACGCACACGTACGTGGATGAGGCGCCACGGGGCTAGCGCCGCCGATTCGGGGGGCGCGGTGCGAGTGGGGACTGCCCGGCGGTGCGCCGTTAGTGACCCTCGCACCGTTGCTCCCCGGCCCCGCGCACGGCGCGGAGAGTGCCCCTTGTTGGATGAGGGTCTCTCTCTCGTCCCTTTCCTTTTCGAGGCGTGTTCGTGATTCACCTGCACGCTCTCGGCACTGTCCTCACTGTCCTCCTCCTCTTCGTCTTATCTACTAACTCCCCCTCATCCTCATCCACAACTCTCTCGTCGTCCTCATCTTCTTCCTTAGTCCCCCCCGTCCCCCTCTTCTCATCAACGCCACCATCCGTTGCAAACTCATCCGGAACTCATCGCAACTCATCGGTTTAGATGAGGCCGAGATGAGTCAGGATGAGTTCCACGCCTCGCTCAAAGTTTCCCTCCTCTAGAGCTCTTCCCGTTCCGAGCCTTCGCAGCCATCAGCCCTCTCCTCTCGCCCTGCATGCTGCGTTCCTCTTCCTTCTCGCGCTCCTCGCCACCGAAAGGGGTGATGGGAGGTGCGCCGCTGCCAACTATATGGACGGGGCCTCCCACCGACGTGGCCGTTCCCCCGTCCATCCCCTAATTAACCCTTGCCTTTCAGGCGTCAGTCCGTGCATATGTGGCAGATTTGAGGTTCGGCCCCCTCCCCCCAAAACAGAGGCGTTCTGGATACGGGTAAAAGTTTGGCCCCTAGGGGCTCGATTTCTAGCGGTGCCTCAGCTCCTTCCCAGGACGCCCAACACCCGCTGGATCTCAGGTGCCTCGATACGCCCGTTTTGACACGCAACGCGCCTCGTGTTCAAAACGTCCGTGCGCGCTGGCTCCACGTATCGGACCGCGTGTTGGCGAATGTTTCGCGTCTGACCTATTTCAGACTACGCATTGAGCCCCGCATCGATGCGATACGTGTTGCGCGTTGCGTATCGGGGCAGCTAAGCACGGGATCTGTAATATGCTGCCCGCATGTGTCACGAGACGTCTGGCACTGTTTAAATATGCTATCACGCGGCTCTCCCGCGAGATAGCATCCGAATACCACGCGGCTTTCTCGCGAGGCATGTTCTCCGACCCCCTCCAAGGTCTCCTCATGTAAAGCCTCAGCCGTGCGTCCCATCCGATGAATTCCGATCCCCTCCCCTCCCCCCCGCTCCCCCTCGAAAGCGCTCTCTCGAGGCGACGGGGGGGTGTTCCGCTTCGCCGCACACCATAGCATGACACCCCAATCCCTCCCGCCCTCCCCCTCCCCTGGCGCTGGAGGTCTCTGTTACGGGTGGCATCTTGAAGTTTTGAGGCTGCCCTTTTTCAGTTTTCATTTCCCCTGTTTCGTTCCCCTGTGCCCCGCGCCAGCCGAGACGCGAACGATCGAAACCCGAAACTTGTTGCACACAATCCTCCACTCTCCTAATTCTAGGGGTGTGCAGGGGTGGCGCGCGTCCGCGGCGTGCTGAAATTACGCACAGCGTTGCAAGTGGAGGAAATGGTGCGCCCCCTCTGTCGCGGGATCATCGTCGCCCCACCGCCCCCCCTCCCTCTCTCTCCTCCTATACCATCCTCATCCACTTCATCTTAAGCTCCCCCCTCCCGTGCGCGGCCTAGGTCTCGGAACCGACGCCTGGAAGAGGGCGCAGTGGTGAGGGGGAATGGGGGAGGAGGAAGAAAATAATGAAAGCGAGGAGGAGGAGGAGGAGGAGGAGGAGGAGGGTGAGGAGGAAAAGGAGGAGGAGGAGGAGGAGGAGGATAAGGAGAATGAGGAGGCGAAAGATGATGATGAGGAGGAGGAGGAGAAAAATGAAGAGAGGAGGAGGGCGAAGGTGAGGGCGAGGGTGAGGAAGAGGAGGAAGAGGAAGAAACTGAATGGGAAAAGGTGGAAAAGAGGGGGAGGATGAGGACGAGGAGGATGGGGACGATGAGGAGGAGGAGGAGGAGGAGGAGGAGAAAATGATGGTGTTCGACGAGCCGACGCACGTCAACCCACTCATGTCGACGCCGTGGCGCTGCACGCGCGCGCATTCGATGGAAAAGCTCGCGGACCGCTGGCTCTCTCGGACCTCTCTGGCTCGCTCCTCGAAGCTCTAAAGCTCGCCGACACTTGTGTGTATATATATACCCCTCTTTCTCTCGATCCTTCTCGGATCAGTCTTTGAATCCTCTAGCAAGCTAGATGGTTTCAAGCAGGACACGCGCGGTCGACACCGTCGTGCCGTGTACTATTGCACGCGCTGCAGATCGAAGAAAAGGAGCCGCTGTGTATGTATATGATACTATATAGCTGGTGCATATATGGCATGTATGGTGTGTACGTTGTAATATATATATATATACGCTATAATAAAACGATGTATATGCTATGTATGCTAGATTACAACGTCATGCACCATCATCACACAAACATCATCAACGTTCACACATCATAACCAAAATGTAGTCCTTACCGCCACAACCCCGGACACAGACCAAAACGTAGTCCTCATCTTCAAAATCGCGTGCACCCCGAAAAACGAGGTCTTCAGGACCTCTGGGACGAGCGCGTCGGGCAGGCGGGGCCTCGAGAAGCGGCCGGGCCCCGCGCGCGGGCCTCGGCGACGGGCGGGCCGGTCACCCACGCCAGCGGGCGGGCAGACCCAACGGGCGGGACGGGCGGGCGGGCCCTGCCCTGATGGTCTGGTACCGGAAATTTTCGGTAGCGATTTCGACGCACCCCAAATTTCGGTAGCGACCGGATCTTCGTTTGAGGGCGCTGAGATAGCGGATTTCAGAACGGTCTGATACCGGTATTGGGCGCTACAGTTCGGTGTTTCGGTAGCGACCGATCTCTGCGGAGCGCTACCGGAAATTTTCGGTAGCGGACCATCAGGGTGTCGAGCGCACCGGGCGGGCGGGGCATGCAAGCGGGAGGCATGAGCAGAGCGTGCGGAGTGGTCGGGACAGGGCGAGGGTCTGGGCTAAGGTGGGTTGAAGTCCAGGATGGAAGTGGTTTTCCGGACTGGCGAGGGCGCGGTCACCGTGTTCGAACGGACTGTGGACGCGTCTCAGGCGGCAGCGCGATGCGGAAAGGAAGTCGCAAAAGCGAGAGGGCGAATCTGGGAGAAAGTGTCAGAACTCATCGAGCGAGGGTCGAGAGTAGGCCGTGAGGACGTATCGGGCGGGAGCGGCTGCTGACTGCTGTAGCTGGGCGCCCACGACCCAAACTTGACACTCAAGCTGTTCCCTGCCTCTTAGGGAGCTCCACCGAAGGCCCCAGTGGCAAGGTCCACATGGCGGCACCGCCCCATTTTGACACACCCCTCACACGGTTCGTGGCCCCATGAAAGGGGCTCCATCGAAGGCCCCAGTGGCAGGGTCCACATGGCGGCGCCGCACCCATTTCGGCACACCCCTCACATGGTTCGGGGCCCCGTAAAAGGGGCTTCACCGAAAGCGGTACGCACAACGCGGCACTCGCAGATGCACACAGTCGGGGTGGATTGGAGAGGACACTCGAGAGGACACGAGACCCTTCCGATGCCACTGGAACGTAGAGGGCACGGGTCGCGAAACACAGGACACAAGGGTACCCTTGTCTGAGCAGGGTCGACCTACTAATCAAACTCGACTGTATGGTTGGGAGGAGGAGGAGGAGGAGGAGGAGGAGCAGGAGCAGGAGGAGGAGGAGGAGGAGGAGGAGGAGGAGGAGGAGGGGGAGGAGGGGGAGGAGGAGGAGGAGGAGGAGGAGGAGGAGGAGGGCAGCAGGAGGAGGAGGAGGAGGACGAGAACAGAGGAGGAGGAGGAGGAGGAGGAGGAGGAGGAGGAGGAGGAGGAGGAGGAGCACGTCGGCAGCGGTCGGCGGCGACGACGCTAGTCGGCGACGGCGGCGGCGAGGCGCGCACGGTCGCTCCTCGGGCGGAGCCGCTCGCGGCGCTCGCGGCCTCCTCGCGCCTCTCGCGCTCCTGGGAGGCGCGCGCGGCCTGCGCGGGCGCAGGTCAGGTCGTCGTCGTCGTCGTCGGCGCCGCCGCCGCCGCCGCAGCCGTCGAGAGGTTCGGAGCTCGGAGGTCCTCGGCGGTCTTCGCATCTCGGAAGCTGCTGGCAGCTCTCGGAGGTCTTCCGATGTTTGAGCCTTCTGCGAAGGCACGAGGTGTGTGCGTATAGGGAGACGGCCGAGGGGCCGTTCCTGTACAGGAGTCCGCAGGTAGAGGCGAGGAGTAGGACTTCTTTTTCCAGGGCACTGCGCAGAGAGCAGTGCACCGTTGGTGTATTGCCAAATGCGTGAGCCAATACAGTTGCGGTAAGAGAGGATAGAATGGGGAAGTGAGCGGACTTCACACACACACACGAGGCGGCGGCAACGGTTCGCCCAGGGCGACTTCGATGACGAGGTGGTAGCGCGAACCAAGACTCGCTTGATGTTGTTGAGAAGGGAGGCGAAGCAAAGGCGTACACGATACAAGAGTCTGGACAGTTTGCACCTGCGACGCCGAAAGAACTCTGCCCCATCCAGGCGAGCGACGAAAAGAAAGGGGCCTTGCCAACAATGGCATGGCTCATGGCGGCCTCTCGAGGTAGCTGACGTGGGCCGCCGACGACGCCACGACGCATCGGACAAGGGGGCGCGGGCGCGCGACCTGACGCGGGCAACCTCCGGAGAAACCAACTGGCACCGATGCCGCTACCCCCCGGACCTCTCCCGGGGCGCGTTCTGACCAGAATTTCGAAGCGGATCCGGCGGTGGCGACGAGGGCCTCCCGGGAGGCCCCAAACGGGAAAAATGGCAGCATGGTAGAGGGATGGGTGCCTGTTCCTCCTCTGCATTTTTCCGCTTGACCCGTGCAGCCAACCCAGTTCACGCTCGTCGCTCAGGTGTGACAGTCACGGATACAACAACTCCGGCGACCTCTTTGGGAGCGCCGCAATGCCGGTCAGCCGCCTGCCGTCCACGGTGGGCCGCAGCGGCGGGTCCGGCTCGTAGGGGGGCTCGTAGGCGGGCCCGAGGGTCAGGTATCGGCAGTTTGAGGCCGCAGCGGCGGCTCCGCTCGCGACACCGAACAGCCCGTTCAGCACGGAGCCGATGTCCGCCCCACACGCTGCCTCTAGATTCAGAGTCTGGGCGCAGGTCGCCGCCGCCCCCGACAGGTAGCCTGCCACGTCGGAGAAAGACGACAGGACACCCAGGACGTCAGAAGCGCACGCGGCCCCTGTGTCGAGCTTGTCCCTGTTTGTTTTGTTGCAGTCGCCTGCCGCCAGCTTGATGTTGTTCGCCGCCTGCGCAAGGTAGACCGCAGAGTCAACAGAGTTGAGGACGCACCAACCGGTGGCCAAACTGGTTAAGCCTGTCTCGTTACCCGCGATGTTCGAAGGAGGACATGGCTACAGAATGATGAACTTTCGGAGGGCCGCGCGGATTTCTTGGGTCGGCGCTGGACACCCCTGGCGGCGCCTCCGGCGCCGTTCCTGGCGCGCCAGGGAGAGGGGTCAAGTGCCGATCCAAGAAATCCGCGCGGACCTCCGAAAGTTCATGTGCAGGCCGCTTTTTCTTCTTCGAGATGTCGCTCGCCGAGCCCTCCAGCGTCGCATTGACAATGCCCTCCGCTCCCCCTGGAGCGGGCAGGGGGCAATCCACGCTCGCGCCGGTGAGAGCGCCCGCTGCTTCCACGGCGTTGCCGACGATGCTCACGAGGTTGGAGGCGCACGACACACGCAGCCTCGACGTGTCGACGCACGTGGTCGCAACGCCGAGGAAATCCGCCACCGTGCCACAATCGGGAGAAGCCAAGAGGGGGGTGTCCAAGAGGGGGGGGTGCAAATTATGACCGGCGGCATGTGCGCGGCCCAGCGGGGGGGCCTGGGACGTACTGAAATTCGCCGGCCCAACGGGCCAGAGGCGTGCTAAGATCTCCGGTAACTGGTTAACAATTTTCTAGTTCGCGCGCGCGGGGCGGCCCCTGGGGGTCCCCGGACGAAAAGTACCCCGACCAGGTCCCGGCCGGGTCCCCCCGAGCGCTCCATGAGCGCACCAACAGGGCTCCGAGACGTCCCCGAGAGCCCCAAGAAAGGCCAAGAGGCCCCCAAGAGGCCCCCAAGATGGTACACGAGGGGTCCGACATGCCACAAGATCGCTCCAAGACGCCCAAGATAGCCCCCAGACGCCCCAAGAGGCCTCCAAGAGCACTCCCAATAGGGCCCCCGGAGGCAAAAATCATTGTTTTTCCATAGGTTTTTGAAAGATTTTGGAGCTTCCACCTTTTCGGCTTCCCGACGCCCCAAGACGGCCCAAGAGGCCCCCAAGATCGCCCCAAGAGGGCCCAAGAGGCACCCAAGAGGGCCCCAAGATGGCCCAAGAGGGCTCGAAGACGGCCCAAGAAGCCTCCAAAACGGTCCAAGAGGGCCCCAAGAACGCCCCCAAAGGGGCCCCAGAGAGGGAACACGAAACAACATTTCGAGCCCTCGGCCCTAAGAAGCCCCTACGAGGCCCCTAAGAGGCCCCAAGAGGCCCCCACGGGGCCCTCAGGAGGCCCCCAAGAGTCCCCCAAGCGGCCCCAGGAGGCCCCCCAAATGCCCCCCCGAGCGCCCCAGGAGTCCCCCAAGCGGCCCCAGGAACCCCCAAAGCGCCGCATTGACACCAGGCCCTCGGGCAAACGGCAGACATGAGACTGTATGGGCCGGCGGAATGAGCGAAGCGATTAAATAAGAAGAGGCGCCATGAAATCTGAGGAAAAATCATGGCCCGCGCAATGAAATCCACCTCCCCCTAGTCATCACCCCCCTCTTTTCCGCTCCCGACACAAGGCGAGGCGCTGAGCAGAGCGCCTTCACTTCCCCAGGAGGTCCCCAGCAGGCCGCCGAGAGGCCTGCGGAGACCATCTCGGGATGCGCGTGGGAGGCCTCCAGGGAGCGCACGGGAGGCTCCCCGAGGGGCCCTGCAAGAGGCTCCCGAGGGGATCCTCTCCACGACCAGGGCGCGGTGGGGGGATGGGCGTAAGGCTGCTGGCTACCCTGCAGCGTTGAGGATGGACTGCATCACGTTGAGGATGTCGGCGGCGCAATACACTGTGTCGTTCGGCGCGTTGAGCTGGACGCAGTCCTTCATGGACTGGGCGATGGCGAGGCCAGCCTGAGTCAAGTAAGTGGTCCCAGCCAAGGCGTTGACTGTGCACGAGGGGACATCAACGCCGCTGCCGGGTCGAGGAGAGGGGGGGATAGCGACAGAGGGCGGGCTAACGAGTCAGAAGCATGCACCTGGCTGTCCCAGCGTTAAGTCGGGCGTGTCCCTCCACAGGAGGAATATTCAAAAACAGTCAAAACATGGAGACGATTTCTATCATTTCTGGTGATTTTCGAGTATTTGTTGAATATTTTATATTTTTCGCCCGATGTCCGCTTGTAGGGGGACATGCCCGACCTAATCCCAGCGCCTCCTGGCGCTAGAGGTGTCAACTTATCGAGGAAGGGCACAATGCAGCGGGGCCAAAACCAACTGCACGCAACGTACTTCGTATTCCCCCCCTCCCCGACCCGCGACACCAGAGTACCCACACCACTACGTTTAGGTCGGGCGTGTCCTCCTACACACGGATTTTGGACGAACAATGAACACTACGCAAAAACATACCAAAAATAGCCAACAATAATACACTCAAAAAATCGTCCCCCGACTATGTTGTGACTGTTTCTGGCTATTTCTGAACAACTGTTTCTCCTGCAGGGGGACGCGCCCGACCCAGCACCACTTCCCGGACCTCTCCAGGGGGGCGGCCTGACCCAGATGCCGAGCCGAGGCGACTCCGGCCGTGGCGTCGAGGGAGGGGCAGCAACACCGGTACGTCCTCTCCTCCTCTGCCATGCCCCCCCCCCCTCTGGCGCTCAACCCGCTGGAATCGTTGCGCGGCTCGCCGGTGGAATTCCTCGGGCGTGACGGCACGCTGCCCGAAGGAAAGCCGCCGCACTGCCGCACGTGACGGGCGGGTGGCAAAATGGGGGACGGCTGGAGGGGCCCTGGGACACACAAATGAATGGACACAAATAGCAGGATTCCCAATATTTTCCAATAGTTGCTGGGTTGTTGGTCTTCCCCCCCACTTCCCATATTTCCCCATATTTTCTGGGGGATCGACGATGACTTGTGTTTGTGTGTTCTTCCCCCTCCTGAGTGACCGGAATGCATGGTGAAGAAAGGGCGCCCTCAAGGAGCCCTGTGAGGCCCTTCTCTTCACCCCCCAGTTAAGGCCACCCTGAACGCGGGAAAACTGAAGGGGCCCTGGGACACACAAATAAATACACACAAATAACATGATTCCCCATATGTTCCTATATTTTCTGGGTTTTTGTCTTCCCCCCCAATTCCCATATTTTCCCATATTCTCTGGGGAATCGAGGATTGATTGTGTCTGTGTGTTTTTCTCCCTCCTGAGAACTTTAGACCAACTCGACTGCGCGCGCCGGCCCTCCCCGCCCTGCGGCAGCTGGCAGTGGCCTCGCTTACAGGGCGCCTACACTTACGCACAGTCGCCAGAACTGCAAAACGCTGACACATAACATCTATTGCTGTGGGGGCTGGGGTTATGTTGCTCCCATCGTGCTGAGGGACCACATCCCAGAAATAATTTCGAGCACCCCGAAATGCATCGAAACGGTGTCGAACGAGCATCGCCTCCCAGGGCCCGACGCGCGAAAACCCTCCAGTTTCTCGGCGCCTTCTTCGTGCCCATTCCTTTCTGGTGACCAGGGCTAAAATAGGTAGGAACATCATAAGGCTTCTGAATCTCGTTTAACCGATCCCCATCCCCAGCGGCGTGGCCTAGGCCCCACTGGCCGCTTTACCCCCCCTGGGTGGGGATATATAGGTCGCTCCCTTCGGGCTTCGAGGGGTGTATCCCCAACTGGGGTGGTATCTTTTGGAAACAAATCCTTGGGTTATCGTCAGAACAATAAACCCTGCACGTAGCCGACGCGCGACGGAAGGGCCCGAGGGGCCGAAAGAGAGCGAAGGACGGACCCAGGAACCACAGACAGCGAGCGCAGGGGCACAAACCGAGAAGAACGGGGCCCACGAAGCAGCGAGGGCCCGAAACTGCCAAGCGATGCCGGGAAAGCCCGAGGGGATTGGTGGCCCCCGTCCTGGCTCCTCGGAGGACTTTGCCTCGGTCTCGGAGGGGATTCGGGGAACGAACACTGACATACACATAACAACTGGGAGGTCCGCGCGGATTTCTTGGATCCGCGCTGGACCCCCCCTCCCTGGCGCGCGGAGCGCTCCAGGGTGCGGCGCCGGAGGCGCCGCCGGGGGGCCCCAACGCCGATCCGAGACATCCGCGCGGACCTCCGAGTTCTTGTCTTTATGCCATGGGTTCGCTCCCCGAGAGATGCGGATCGGCTCCGCGATGCCGCGGTTCGCACCCCCGGTTGTCATTGTTCGCTCCCCCGAGGGATGGGGCATGGGGATGCGGAGCGGCCCCACGATGCCGACGTGCGCACCCCCCGTTGCCATTGTTCGTTCCCCGAGGGATGGGGCCTGGGGATGCGGATCGGCCCCAGGATGCCGCGGCTCGCACCCCCCGTTGTCATTGTTCGTCCCCCCGAGGGATTGGGGCCTGAGGATGCGGATCGGCTCCACGATGCTGCGGCTCGCACCCCCCGTTGCCATTGTTCGTCCCCCGAGGGGTGGGGCATGGGTCTGCACAAACGAGATGGGCACGGAAAGAATGGGCACCATGCCCAACAGCAGTTCCTGTTCATTCTGCAGAGGGGTTCGCTGTCCGCGCCGCCGCGGCCTGTGCACATTTGAGACAGAAGGCCGCCTGCCCAACAGCGGCCGCTGCTGGTTTGGGACAACACTTGTTGTTGGGCATTGTACCCATCTCCTCCTCCTCCTCCTCCTCCTCCTCCTCCTCCTCCTCCTCCTCCCCTCCCCTCCTCATCCTCCTCCTCCTCCTCCTCCTCCTCCCTCCTCCCTCCTCCTCCTCCCTCCTCCTCCTCTCCTCCTCCCCCTCCTCCTCCCCAACCCTCCTCCTCCTCGTCCTCCCCCCCCTCCTCCCCACCCCTCCTCCTCCTCCTCCTCCTCCTCCTCCTCCTCCTCCTCTCCTCCTCCTCAGGGACTTCCTCCTCCTCCTCCCCTCCTCCTCCTCCTCCTCCTCCTCCTCCTCTCCCTCCTCCTCCTCCTCCTCCTCCTCCTCCTCCTCCTCCTCGCCTCTCGTCCTCGTCCTCGCCCCCCGAGGGGGTGGGGCATTCGGAGGGCGGCTCGGCCCCGCGGTGCCGCGGCCCGCCACCCCCCCGGCTTGCCGCCCGCCCGGGCTGTGCGCCAGGAGCCAGGCGGCCTGCGCCGCTCGACCCGCGCGGCGGCCGGCCACGCCGCGGGCACGGCGTGCCTCCGGGCGGTCGGGGCGCGGGGCGAAGTCGGGCGTGTCCCTCTGCCAAGGGGGGGGAGATATTCAAACAAAAAACAAAAACACAAACAACAAAAACGTACGGGTGTATATATATATAGATATATACAATGTCTTCAGGACGGGGAAATATGCAAAAGTGGTCAAACAATAGTACGGGGACGGTCGTTGTGCATGAGTTTCCCATCTTTTTTTTTGGGGGGGGCAATGCTTGGGGCATCTTCGATGTTGTTCTTCAAACTCTGCCTGTAGGGGGACATGCCCGACCTCAGCGTTGACCACGACCCCACCCTGGGTCACAAGCGCGTGGTCTGCAGAAATCTCCTGGGAACCACCAAGGCCCAGAGAGAGCCGCCAGGGCGCCGCACACCACGAGGGGTTTGCCCTGTCAGCCCACAGGAGTCTTTTAGCGCGCAGCGCCTCGCAAACCAGGGTCGGGGCGTTGTGTATGCCCTTGTGACCTCAGGAACCCGATCTAAGGAGCGAGGTCCTTTTTTCCATGAGTCACACTTCGATCTCCCATCGCAGCCCCAAGGAAAACCTGAGGCAAGCTGCGAAACAATTAAGGCGCACGGAGCCCCTCCCCAACGGGAGGGGTTCCTTCTTCAGCGCCCCGACCGTCCCCACAGCGTCTTGGACTTTCTGGGACGGAGCGGCAATGAGAGGCCGCGGCGCAGTGGGCATGGCTAAAAGTCTGACCTCCAGGGGCGAAACTCTTTTATCCACATCCACGGCGCCCTTGGTAGCGGAGGAAGGGAGACCAGAGCTCCGAGGCGCAGTGGAGATGGATCAACATCTTGCCCGCACATCACGCCATCACGCTGCCCCAGGGCGCGCCCCCGAGAAGACCTGGCCGGAGCCCAAACGGCTACGTCCGCGGGAGGCAGCGAGCGTCCGCAAGGCGGAACGCCGAGAAAATATCCCGAGAGGGCGCAAGAAAACTGCCCCAGCAAGATAGGGAGGGAACGGCCGCCGGCAAGGAAGACAGGCACCTCAGCTCAGGTGCCAGACACGTCCCGAGCTCGATTCACCTTAGCTTTGGAGTCCCGAAACGGTGCGGTGACAGACCGTGCGGTGACTTCGAAATCGCCCAAGACCTCACCGCACGGTTCGTCACGGCACGGTCTTGGGACCCTGGAGGCCCCTGTCGCCCGATACATCCCCGGAGAACGACTCGAGTCCCAAATCCGTGCGGTGACCCGAATCCCCATCGACTCACCGCACGGTGTGGTCACCACCCCGTGTGGGGGCCCCCGATGAGCAGCCAGGGCACAAACCTGTCTTCGCAGAGAGCCTCCAGAGAGCCCTTGGCGGGGCCGCACCATGCGTTCTCCTCCGCGTCCCAGAAGGCCCCAGGGCCCGCATCCGAGGACTTGAGAGGAAAAGGAGGAGGAGGAGGAAGAGGAGGAGGAGGACTTGGGAGGAGAAGGAGGAGTAGGAGGAAGAGGAGGAGGAGGGGAAGAAGGAGGAGGAGGAGGAGGAGAAGGAGGAGGACGAGGAGGAGGAGGATGACTTGGGAGGAGGAGGACGATGAGAAGGAGGAGGAGGAGGAGAAGGAGGAGGAGGAGGAGGAGGAGGAGGAGGAGGAAGAGGAGGGCCTTGACCTTGACAAAGCCTCGGATCCCCAGCATAATCGCCTGCACAATGACTCGCACCGCTGCCTCGTCGCCCCCGGGAGCTGGCCGAGACTGCACTGCAGCACTTCCCTCCGCTGAGAAGGCCGGCTGCTTGGCCCAACCGCACTTCGTCCCCCCCCGCAGGGGGCGTTGTGCGGTGCAGCACTTCCTCGTGCTGTACGACGGCCACCCATCCTCGGTGTCCCTGCCCTTCGTCGCCCCGCCCCCTCCCCTCCACTTCGGGCCTGGGCTCTGGGGATCGGTGGGGAGCGCCACCTCCTCCCCCTCCTCCTCCTCCTCCTCCTCCTCCTCCTCCTCCTCCTCCTCCTGGAATCTGGACACGAACGGGCCCGTGAAGTACCCCCTTGCGGCTCCCCTACTGGGGTGCTGAAACCAGCGCCTCGCCTGAGGCATCCTCACAATCTGCTCCGAAAGCAAAGGATGTTCAGCATGCAAGCCAGCAAACCGTCTGAGACATCCCAAGCTTACACAGTTGCGCCTCCCGTCGGCTTCTGCGCTTAAGACGGCCTCCAAGACGCCCACGATGGCCTCCCCGACGGCCAAGGTGGCCCCAAGAGAGCCCAAGATAGGCCCAACATGGCTTCCAAGATGGTCCGAAGGTGCCTCCAAGACCGCTCAGGTGGTCCAAGAGCGCCAGAGACGGCACAAGAAGCGCCCAAGAGGCCTCCAAGACGACCAAAAAGGCATCTAAAAGTTCCTCCAGGAAAGCCCGAAGAGGCAAAAATCAGTGATTGCCATTCGGAATTTAGAGGATTTGGACATCCGATTCTTGCTGGCCTTCCGACGGCCAGGGACGACCCACGAGCCCCCCCCCAAGATCGCTCCGAGATCGCCCAAGAGGCCTCCGAGAAGCCGAACATGGCCTCCAGGACGGCCCTGGAGCGCCACAGGAGGGCCCCAAAGTCGGTTCAAAGAGGCCCTTCGAGACGGCTTCCGACGGCGGCCGGCCGGCCAGGAACGCCCTAAGACGGCCAGGGCGGCACCGCACAAGCCCCGCGAGGCCCCCGAAGAGGCCCAAGGTGGCCCTCACGAGGCGTCCAAGAGGCCCCACAAGTTCCCCTGGAGACCCCAAGGGTTCCCCAAGAGGTTTCCAAGAGGCGTCCTCATTATGTTTGTCGTCATCCTCGTCCTTGTCCTCGTCCTCGACCTCGTCCTCCTGCTCCTGCTCCTGCTCCTGCTCCTGCTCCTGCTCCTCCTCCTCCTCCTGCTCCCCTTCATCCTCCTCCTCCTCCTCTTCCTCCTCCTCCTCCTCCTCCTCCTTCTCCTCCTGCTCCGCCTCCTCCTCCTCCTATTCCGATTACTATGCCGAATCCTATTCCTATTCCTATTCCTATTCCTATTCCTACTCCTATTCCTATTGCTATTCCTCCTCCTCCTTCTCCTCCTCCATTCCCCTTCTTCTCCTCACCAGGGTGCCTCGTTGCCGGGAGATGCTTGAGGTGCAGGTTGTCGTCATCTCCGGGGGCGCTTCGGGAGGGAAAGACACCCACGACCCGAGGCCGAGAGGAGTGGCTTTGGCTGTCGCCGCCTTCCGCTCGGTCCCTCCATTTTCCCTCCAGGGGTGCGCATTTCCCTGGGGAGGGGGCACGAACAGCCCAGAGCTTGTCGGAGCTGCCGACGCTGAGGGCCAGCTCTACGCCGAGTTTGCGAGCCTCTTGGAGGAGCACTTGGGCGGCCTCTTCGACTGGGACGACGTCGAAAAAGGCGGAGCACGCAGGTCGGGCGCAGGAGCCGTCCTTCGTCCCGCGGCCAGTCTCCACTAAGGCGCAGGGGCCCTTCGCGCGGGGCTGCGAGCAGGCCTGGCGCTGGAGGCACACCGGCAGCCTGCTGTGGCAGATGCTCCAGGCACGTCGCCGCCTTCGCTTCGCGCAACGGCGGCCGCAGGAGCTGGCCCTGCTCTCGGCTCTGCAGGGCAAGCTCGGGCGCCTGGCGGCGAAGGACCTGGTGGGCGACCTCCTTCCTGGGGATGATGCCCGTCGGCGTCGGCGCCAAGCCGAGCTGGCTCGGGAGCTCCGCTCACCTGGGGACCTCACTCTCCCGGAGTTGCAGGCGCTGGAGAAGCATACCAGTGGTGGCGGAGCAGTTCGAGAGGCGCAGATCGGAGCAGCGCTCTCGCAGCTGGCGCGAGTGGGCGCACCTGGCCGTCACTGACGGCGGCGGAGCGGCCCACGGCTTCTGCAACGCCCCGGTGGGCTGGTCAGCTGACCAGGCGACGGCCGACGGCTCACCCGCGGGCATCTCGGCCACGCTGCGGGCCCTACAGGATGAGTACCAGGAGGTGTGGTAGTGCGGCCAGGAGGAGTTCGACCCGGACCAGGCCCTCCCCGAGGACCTGCTCGAGCCCAGCTGCCGCCGACGCCGCTGGCGATCTCGGAGGCTGCGCAGTCCTTCAAATCAAGAACGGCGGTGGGCGTCGACGGCATCAAGCCCGGCCAGTTTGGGTGGCTCTCCACCGATGGCCTGATCGCCCTCGGGTTGCTGCTCCACCTCATCGAGCTGGCGGTCGAGTTCCCCACGCAGCTGGCGGAGGTGTTCATTTTCTCCCTGGCCAAGCCCGAGGGCGCCTGGAGGCCGCTCGGGATGATCTGCAGCCGCCTGCGACTGCGGGGGGAGATCCGCCACGCGGAGG